AAATGAGACAGCTGGGGAACAGAAAAGCTGAGTGTTGACCTGACTGGGGTCACAGTAGAAGGGTCTGAATCTGAGTTCAGGACACAGGACAGATGAGGGAAGTGGGGTTCAGTGAGGTCAGGATGCTGCCCACAGTCACAGAGATACTGGTAAAACGGGGTCAGAAAAGAGCCAGGAAGGCTTAGAGTGTCTCCCAAATTCTCAGAGCTTATTTTGAGCATGTGTCCTTAAAAGCAATACTTTCATGAAAGGAGGTGGTGGTGGTGTTGTTCCAGCCACTGGTGCCCTCCCTCTGCTGGAGCACAGAGGTTGTGGCTTCAGGAAGTGCCAGCCATGTCTACTCAGCCTATACTGTGAGCTCACTGTCTAGGCATCTGGAGCTCCTGACCCCAAACCCAAGTGTTCCCGACCCACTGGTGAAGTAGGGCTGCCCTACAGGCTCAGATGAGAGAGAGGACACTGATCTGTCCACCCTGGCTTTCTGAGGGTCCCCATTCTGCAGCATGGCCAACAGCAGCTAGCTGACGCAGGCAGTCTGGCTTGCTTGTGGTTGCGCTTTAACTAAGCAGCAGCCCTGCTGGCCAGTTCAGCTTTGGGACTGCTTCCTTCTGGAAACACAAGCTCATGGGTAGATGGTTACCAGGGAAAGTGGCATTCTAGACAGGGGAAGACTTGAGTCTGAAATTACATTTGATGGCTCCATGGCCCTGGAGAAGGGGTCTCCAATGACAACTTATGACCACACTAAAGAGCCCCAAGTACTCTAGGCTCCTGCTCTGCCCCACTAGGATGGGGTGCTGGGTCCTCATTTTAAATAGATTGGGCCATAGTGGCTCAGAGAGGTTCAAAGACTAGCTGATGGTCTCACACACAGCCAGGAGGTAGAAGAATCTGGCACAGACTGATGGACATGGTTGGGCCTGCCTGCCATCCCAGCACTGAGGCTACAGCAGGAACATGTCACGTTTGAGGCTAGTCTGAACTACACAGAAGGTGTTAGAACACAGTAACCTAACACCTTCATGTAGAATTTGAGGTGGGGGAAACTATTAGCATCACAGGGTAGGGGAGTGAGGCCTAAGTGACAGGTATGCCATCATTCCAGGCCCTGGCTACTGGCATTTGAAGGGGACCGCCAAACTGGATTCAGAGTCATATACAGCTATTCTCATGCCTTCCTGGCTGGGCTGGGTGTTGTCCTGCTTTCTGCTCTCTAAGACACCAGGTCATTACAGCACACTTGTAATGACACGGAGGCCGCTTTCTAAAGCAGCTGTCAGCTGGCTTCAGGAGTAGGGAGACAAAAGAACTAAAGGAAATGTTAGCAAGATCAACACAGTTTGAGAATCCATAATTTGCATACATTCTTTCTTTTAATGGTTTTTCAAGACAGGGTTTATCTGCATCTGGTTTCTTAAACAAAACAACAAAACAATTATTTTTGTACGTGCACAAGTGCCACAGCATGTATGTGGAGGTGAGTTCTCTCCTTCCACCGTGTGGGATCTGGGGTGTAGCTCCAGTCGTCAGACTGTAGCAAGCCCTTTTACCTGCTGAGTCTCCTTGCAGGCTCTTTAGAAGAGCAAAGTCAGGCAGCTTTCAGCTCTCCCTGTGTCAGAAGATGGTGCTGAGAAGCATGAAGGATGCACTCTAGGCTAAGGAGCCCCACCTTAAAGAAAGGATACTATGTACTGAGGTGGTCACAGGTGACTGAGAGCCCTCATTCCCAAGTGTGGCTCTGGAGTTACACAGGACCAGTCCCTTAGGGACCGGGGAGGAAAGAGGCTGACCCCCACGGAGCTCCATTCCCAGTGAGTCTGAGTCTCTTCTCAGTTCAGTCTTCCTGGTGTACACGAACCCAGCCAGGAGCCAGACAGCAGGCTCTCAAATGCCAGCCCAGCTCTCCTAGCTCTAGTTTTTCTTGGTGACTGTCCCTCACACTTCTTTCCTTTTTGTGGTGCTGAAGATGGAACTGCGGTCTTGCCAGAGGCAGCAAGCTGTCTACTACTGATACCGCATCCCTTGGCTTTTGGACAGTTATAACTCTGTATATAGCCCATGCTGACCTGCCAAGCCTCACACTGTTGGGGATCCTCCTGCCTCAGTCTTCTAAGCACCGAGTTTACAGGTGCCCACTCCCTATCGCTACATTTTTTGGAGGGGGGATGTTTAAAAATGTGTGTCCAAAGAGCCAGTGTGATCTTGTTTGATTGTGTGGATTTTCCTGAATTACCCAGTCCACAAACGTGTCTTAGTTCAACGTAATGAAGCCTATGGTCTTGCTTTAGCCATGGGCATACTGCTGGCCCCTGGTTCTCCAGTCTTTCTAGGTGAGAATGAGGTGATCTGCAGTCTTCACGGGACTCCAGAAGAGCTGTTGATGTCAGCCATCAAAAGTGAGCCCATGTTGTCTCAGTTATCACATTCCCAATATAATAGAACGCTCATCTCTATTTAATTCCATGTCTACGGCCACACCATCCTGAATGTGCCCGATCTCGTCTATTTAGTTCCAGAACTTTCAGATCAGGAGGAAACCCAGTGTTTATGCCACCATGCTCCTCTTCTCCCAGGCACCACTCGCCAGCTCTGCCCTTTCACAGAACTGGACCCTCTGCACCTGGTTTCTTACAAGGGTAACTCGAGACTTCCCTGCTTCTGCCTCCAGAGCCCTGGGATTAAAGGCATGCACCACCAGGCCATTTAAAAAAATTTTCTGGCAGGGTCTCAAGTAGCTCAGGTTAGCCTTGAACTATGCTTTTTTGTTTTGTTTTTCGAGACAGTATTTCTCTGTGGCTTTTGAGGCTATCCTGAAACTAGCTCTTGTAGAACAGGCTGGTCTCGAACTCAGAGAATTGCCTGCCTCTGCCTCCCGGAGTGCTGGGATTAAAGGCATGTGCCACCACCACTTGGCTTAGCCTTGAACTATTAAAAAAAAATACACACACACACACAATTTTAGGTATGAGCATCCTGTCTGCATGTATGCCTGTATGCCAGAAGAGGGCATCAGACCCCATTATAGACGGTAGTGAGCCACCATGTGGTTGCTGGATATAGAACTCGCCAGCTCTGCCCTTTCACAGAACTGGACCCTCTGCACCTGGTTTCTTACAAAGTGCAGAGGGAAGAACAGCCAGTGCTCTTAACCGCTGAGCCATCTCTCTAGTTCCAGCCTGAACCATTTAGTGGAGGCTGAAATTTTCTCAGTTTTCCTTTCTCCATCAAGTGCTGGGTCTACAGGTGTGTAAGCATGATTTCCACCAAGTGCTGGGATTAAAGGCGTGTGCCACTCTGACCAGCCATCTTAGTCTCGCATAGCATGAAACACCTGTGACAGGGCTACAGCGAAGCTTCCACTGGGTGGTTCAGACCTGCCTATGATTCCAACTCTAGAGGGCAGATTGCCTCTGTCTCCTCAGATGCCCATCCTCATGTACACACACACACACACACACACACACACACACACACACACACACACACACACACACACACACCCACACCCATAAAACTTGCCCTTGGCCCCTGGACGTTTTAATCTCAGACCTTGGGAGGCAGAGGCAGGTTTAGTTGAGTTTGAGGCCAGCCTGGTCTTCACAGGAAGACCTTGTCTCAGAAAACCAAACTAAACCTGAGGCAGGCCACTGATGAGCTCATGATTCTGGGGCTGTATCCACAATGGGGTGGGCCCATTCCTCAGGATCTGTGGTGAGGGTACCAGAAGGTACGTGTGGTGGGAGCTGCATCTCAGGACACTGCTCCATCACAAGCTAGAGGCACTAACAACGGCCTTCAAGATCCAGCCTTGAAGGAAGCCTCAGTCTCTAATGGTGCCCTCCATGCTCACAGCAGAGCAACGGTGTCCTGGGAGGACTAAAACCCAGCAGGTCCTTCCTCTGCAGTGCAGGCACATCGGGAGCTTAGACTAGGGTGAGCTTGCTAAGCACACATGAAGATCTGATGCCTAACAGCCAGCTACGGTGAGTCAGAAGCCAGCCTGGGAGCATCAGACAGTCTTAACACTCAGTTCCAACTGTATGGAAACAAATTCATCCAGCCAGAGCTGGGGCAGTCATTGGTGACTCGACACTTTTCTGCTTCCTCGGTGTGTGAAATAGCTGGGCACAGAGGGATAGTGAAAGGTTCAGGAATTACGCTGGCCTGGTTCTGTTCCCTGGCAGAATGCACTCAGGCAGCACTCTGGTCAGCCCAGGGTTCCACTAGTCTGCAAGCAGGTGCAAAGGACCCCTTTAAAAAAAGACAGACTCTGGCCGGGCGTTGGTGGGGCACACCTTTAATCTCAGCACTCGGGAGGCAGAGGCAGGCGGATCGCAGATCTCTGTAAGTTCGAGACCAGCCTGGACTACCAAGTGAGTTCCAGGACAGCCTCTAAAGCCACAGAGAAACCCTGTCTGGAAAAACCAAAAACAGACAGACTCTGCCCACTTATGCTCCCCTCCCCAAATAAACCCTATGATTAATGCACTCTCTGGTTCATATTCCATCCTGCCAGTTCCATCTCACGCCTTCTTAAAATTTTTTTTCGGTTTTTCGAGACAGGGTTTCTCTGTGGCTTTGGAGCCTGTCCTGGAACTCGCTCTGGAGACCAGGGTGGCCTCAAACTCAGACATCCGCCTGCCTATGCCTCTGAGTGCTGGGATTAAGGGTATGTACCACCAACAACTGCCCTAATTTTAATCTTAAACAAAAGAACAACAGATAGGCCATCAGCATACTCATCGCTTGCCCCAGGGCCACACCAAGGGAGATGCCACCAGGTCAAGCACTCTGCATATGACACGATCAACATCGGGTCCAGCAGGTCTGAGTGACTATCAGAGGTGTGAGCCCCTCAATGGACAGAAGCAGAGTAAGGAGTAGGGTGGCTGAGCTGGCCAGGTTCTGGAGTGTTAGCAGGCTAGCCCCCCAGGCACGATGAGAGACGAGAGATGGGAGATGGGGAGAGAACAGGAAGCACAGGAATGGCAGGCAGCCTCTGTGAGCACAGGTTTATTGGGTAACACTGGCCATCCCCAAGTGGCTTTGGATCACTAGTGTGACAGGATGAGATGGTGCCTCACTGAAGATATGGAACCCTTCTTCATGTATAGGACAACTGACACTAGATGACTAGAGGGGATGGCTTTTGGGGCCAGGGCCACCCAGGACCTGGGGAAGAGATTACCTGTACTCGCCAGCTTCTGCTATTGATGCCATTGCCCTTTCTTGGGTCTGTGGCTGTCAAGGGCACTGAGGGGGTGGGGGAAGTTTCTTGTGGAGAACAGTGAGGCTCACCTACCCTCAAACAGCCTCCCCACTGAGCTGCTTGAGAGCCAGAGGGACATCAGAGCCAGGTTCATCACACGGTGTCACCACAGTAAAGACAGACTCTGAGCCTACAGGAAGCTGAGTGCCTCTTCAGTACCCTGCGGAGCTGGCCTCAGGCTTTATCATCACCTGCCCATTGCTGTCCCAGGTGCCATTAGGAGTGGAGGGGGGGTCCTGTTCAAGTCCGGCCAGCCTGTGGGGTCACCTGCAAAGTCCCAGTGCCTTTAGGATGGTGTCTTGCTGGGTGTGTCGGCCCCTGTCTTCTTTGATGGGCCCTTTAGCAGTGCGAGCTTCTTAGGCAGGCTGGAGTTGGCTTTCATCACCACGTCATGCTCAATCTTCTTCCGGATCCCCACTTCCAGGGTCTGTGAGGGACACAGAGCAAGCTCTCACTGTTCCCAGCCTACACACACACACACACAAACCCTCCCACATCCTTTCCTTTTGTTCTCTGAGAACAGCTTCAGATTCAAGCTACTCCTGCCTGGATTTACCACTACAGGCCCATGTGCTACCATGCTCAGGTCAAAAGAACATATCTAGCACCGGGACAAACAATCCTTAAAGGGCCAGCAAGGCCAGAGGGCCAGAAGAAAGGATGAAAGGCAATGTGGCCGGAAAGCTGAAGGACTTGGGCTTTTGCTGAATAGGAAGCAGACCTGGAAGGTTCTGGGCAGAGGGGAACCAGCTGTGAGCACAGGCAGATGTCACAGCAGCTAGGGCAGGAAGAGGGTAGTGTTGTCGAGGAGCCAGCCTTGAAGGCGGATGAGAGGCGATGGGGCAGAAGTAGGAGGCCGTTTCTGGACTAGACTGGAAGGCAAAAAGGCAAAGTGATCTAGTGGTATACTGTGAAGGAACTCACTTAAGAGCCTGAGAGTGGGTGCCCCAAGGGGCAGAGCAGGCTGCTGGGTTAGGGAAGACAGAATGATCTACTCAAGACTTAAACCAGTTTATTTATGTGTATGAGAGTGTTTTGCTCACATGTATGTCTGTGTACCACACTCACACAGTGCCTGTAGAAGACGGAATTGGAGATCCCTTGGGAACTGGAGTTATAGATGGCTGTGAGCTGACGTGTAGGTGCTGGAAACTGAGTTGAGATCGGGTGGAAGAGCAGCCGGTGCTTTTTCTTTTGGCTTCCGTGGGCATGGGTACACACCACACATACATATAAGTAAACCAGCCTGCTTCTGCGCCCGGAGCGCTGGGATCAAAGGCGTGCGCTACCTCGCCAGGCTTCAGCACTTCTGATCCTTTAAGGCCAATGTTCAGTTCCCAGCACACATGAGGGCTCAAAATCACCAACAACTCTAGTTACAGGGGATTGGAATCCTCTGCTGACCTCTTCGGATATCAGGCACACACTTACTGCACGCACACACACACGACACAAACAGGTAAAACACTAAAACACATAACAAACAAACAGTCCGAGGCTATTTCCTCACAGTCCCTACGAAGTCTGAACCCCACAGAAGCTAAGTGCGGGGTCTGGATCCATGGAACAAGAGAGGGCAGAGACCCAGAGCTGGAATCCCCTCGGCCCGTTTCCACCTCCGCCACTCACCTTCTTCAGCTTTTGCTGCTGCACGACGCGCGCCTTCTTGGGAGCGATGACTCGACCTACGGAGTGACACCAGCCAGTGAGCCTGGGCCGCCCTCCCCGAGTACCGCCGCCCTCTCGCCCTCATCCCACGCCGTTCCTCACCGCCTTTCCTCGGCCCTCGGCTCCGGTCCGCCGCTGCCGCTGCCTTGCTTTTAGGTTTCTGCGCCTGGAACTTGCGCTGTCCCTGCGCCATGTTTCACCACGCGCTGGGGGATGCGGGGGCGGGGCCACGCGCCGGAGAACCGGAAGTCGCAAGACGTCATTGGCCACAGGCACAGGGGACCCAGAGGCTCACATTAGAGAAGAATAGCTGTTCAAAAAGTCTGGAGGAGAATTACGTTACCATTTTCAGGGGTCGGGACGCTTGTGTATTATAAAACACGATGATTTGTGCGTTTTATACATAAAAGTTCAAGCTTGACCTGGGGTGAGGCAAGCAAGGAACTCACTTTTGGTGGAAAATTAAGGGAGTGCCAAAAAGCTTCAGTAATCATTGGTGAGGTGGCCCTGTGTGTAAAGGCGCTGGAGTTCTATCTTGGGTGGTGGCGCACTCAGAACTGACACCTGCAGGTTTTTTGTTTGTTTGGTTTTCAAGGCAGGGTTTCTAAGTAGCTATGGAGCCAGTTCTGGCCTTGAACTCACAGCGATCCACCTGCCTCTGCCTCCTGAGTGCTGGGGTTAAAGGCGTGCACTGGGCTGCAGAACTCAGAGATCCTCTGTCTCTGCTGGGATTAAAGGCGTGTGCCACCACCATCCAGCTTTTTTCAATATGAAAAGATTTAAAATAAGCCGGGCGTTGGCAGTACACACCTGTAGTACCAGCACTCCGGGAGGCAGAGCAGGCGGATCTCTGTGAGTTCGAGGCCAGTTTAGTCTATAGAGTTCCAGGATAGATTTCAAAGCTACACAGAGAAACCCTGTCTCAGAAAACAAAAACAAAACAAACAAACACAAGATTTGCAATATACACCTGGTGGCTGGGAACATCACCCAGTGAGCAAAGTGCCTCCTGCTCATGCATGAGGACCCGAGTTCCATCCCCAGTGGGTGATGGTGCACAGACCTGTGATCCCAGTGCTAAGGAGGCTGAAGAGAGGTGGGAGGGTCACTCAGTCTAGCCTCTTTGATGAGTTCCAGGTTCAGAGACTCAAAAATAAAATAAATAGAAAAATAAAGTGAGGCAGGCAGGTTGTCGTGGCTCACACCTTTGACCTTTTGCTCCGTGAGTTCCAGGCCAGTCTGGTCCACATAGATACATAGAAACTGTGTCTGAAAAAAACAAACATTTGCCGGGCGGTGGTGGTGCACGCCTTTAATCCCAGCACTCAGGAGGCAGAGGCAGGCGGATCTCTGTGAATTCGAGGCCAATACAGAGAAACCTTGTCTCGTAAAACCAAAAAAAAAAAAAAAAAAAAAAAAAGAAAGAAAGAAAGAAAGAAAGAAAGAAAAAACAAACATTTATCTTGATTACTGATTGTTCTCTTTCAGTGCACTTGTTGCTTTTGCAGCGAGGACCTGGGTTCTGTTTCCAGCATCCACACGGCAGCTCGCAACCATCAGTAACTCCAGTTTCAGGAGATCCAGGGTCCTTTTCTGGCCTCTGAGGGCACCAGGCATTTGCATGTAAAGCACTCACACATAAAATAAAAAAAAATATATATATACATATATATATATATATATATATATATATCCGGGTGGTGGTGGTGGTGTGTATGCCTTTAATCCCAGGATTTAGGAGGCAGAGGCAGGTGTACAAGTTCCAGGACAGGCAGGGTTACTTAGAAAAATCCTGTCTTGAAAAACAAAACAAAACAAAGAAACAAACACTTCAAAGACAGCTAAGATCATCCTGATTATCTCTACATTGTTGTTGTTGTTATTTTTTTTTCGATCTATAGCCCAGGATAACTTAAAACTCAAAGAAATCCTCCTGCCTCAGGCTCCCGGGACCTGGGATTACAGGTGTGCACCCCCACATCTGGTTTTGCACCCCATGCATAGGTCATACAAAGGATGGCCTGACATGTATAAACTTGGGCAGCTTTGCTTGGGATGCTGGGACTCTGCAGAGTCAGGTCTGCTCCAGCAGCTAAAGGAGGGGTGTGGGTGAGGATGGGCTTTGGGATAGCCATTTGAAAACTTTATTATAAAACCAGAGGAACTACAGCAGGTATGGGGGCGTGTCACATCTGGAGATTATCTAGGGTCTGTCCCTCTGAGAAGACGGAGGCACTTAGGGCTGCTCGGAGCTCCTCAGGGGCAAAGACACCCAGTTCAGTGATGATGCCACCGGTGATGAGTTCGTGGGGGGTGACATCAAAGGCAGGATTCCAAACCCGGATTCCTGCAGGGAGAGAGGGCACATAAGGTGGGATTTGGCTCTGACAACTCCCTGGCTGATGTCATTTGTCCACAGCAATTCTTAGGGCTAGAGAGTCCTTGAGAATCTAGGGGTTCACACATACTAAAGACTTTTTAATGTGTATACAATGTACTTTGACTATTTTTAATGTAAACGTTTTTGATGTAGTACTGGGTGTTGAATCTCAGGCCTTGTACATTCTGGTAAGTGTTCCACATCTGAGTTATATTCGTGGCCCCTTTAAAAATGTTTATTTTGAGATAGAGTTAATGTTGACTAGGCTACCCTTGAACTGGTGATCTTGCCTCAGCCTCATGAGCAGCCATCAGGTCCCCGCTTTCTGAATTTTTTTTAAAGACAAGGTTTCTCTGGGTAACAGCCCTGGCTGCCCTGGAACTTACTCTGTAGATTAAGCTGACCTCAAACTCAGAGATCTGCCTGCCTCTGCCTCCCGAGTGCTGGGATCAAGGTATACACCACTACCAATCACCCAATTCTTTCTGGTTTTTGAGGTGGGGTCTCACTATGTAGCCCAGGATGAACCTGAAGTCTGAGCAGACCCCCTGCCTCAGCCTCTCTGGTGCTGGGAGCACAGTATGTACATCATCCCTGCCTGTCTATACAGACATTTGTTGAGCAGAGGGGGACTTGTTGGTTTTATGCTTTTCTTATTGTTTTTGGTTTTTCAGACAGTGCCTCACTTGTCAGTTACACACTAGCCTGAAATTCACTTGTACCACCTGGTCTTGAACTCGTGTGGCTTTTCTGCCTGGGCTTCTGGAATGCTGGGATTACAGTTTGCACCCCCACGCCTAGCCCTGTCCTGTGTGTGCATGCATGTGCTCTTGCAAACAGAGGCTAGCAGTCAGCCTGGGTTAGGGTTCCTCAGGAACCATCCAGCTTAGCTTTTGAGATGGTCTCTCACTGCATCTAGGACTGGCTGGTTAGACTCAGTTGGCTAGAAGTACCAAGGATTTGCCATCTGTTTCCCCAGCACTGAGATTATAAACCTGTGCCATGCCGGGAGGTGGTGGCACACGCCTTTAAACCCAGCATTTGGGAGGCAGAGACAGGCGGATCTATGTGAGTTCAAGGCCATCCTGGTCTATAAAGTGAGTTACAGGATAGCCAAGGCTACCTACACAGAGAAACCTTGTCTCAATAAATTAATTAATTAAAAAAAACAAATAAAAGCAAACAAAAACCCACCCATGCCACCACAGCTGTCTTTTTATAAAGTTGGTTCTGGGCACCAAACTTAGGTCTCCAACCCAATGCTCTACCTCCTGAGCCCCATCTCTACCCACCAGCACAATTTACGAAGTCTGACCTTGAATGTAACCTCCAACATCAGAACCCAGCTGAGGAGGAGGGTGAATGAGCAAAGCAGCTCATGCCACTGATGCCCACACAACCGAGTGCCAAGCCCACACCTTACCCTGTGCAGCAATCCTGACTCCATTCAGGTCCGTCAGCTCCTGGCTAGGTCGCTCCTCTATGACAATCTCCCTGCCAGTCTCCAGTTGGAGGTCACAGGATGAGCTGGGGGCAGCCACGTAGAAGGGGATTCCGTGGTGCTTGGCGACAATGGCCAGTTGGTACGTGCCTATTTTGTTGGCTGTGTCTCCATTGGCAACGACACGGTCAGCTCCCACTACCACAGCTGGGGGGTGGGGTGGGGGACAGCCAGGAAGGTTACATACCTGGCTTTATGCCCACAGCACTACCTGCCCCACTGAGCCAGGCTCACTGACCTGATACACCCTGGTGTGCCATAGCAGCAGCCGCCATGCTGTCGGTGATGAGGGTAGCAGGAATCTGCTCGTACACCAGCTCGAAGGCTGTCAGCCGGGCTCCCTGGTTGTAGGGCCGGGTCTCTGTGCAGAAGGTATGCTCCAATCGGCCCATCTCATGTAGGGATCGGATCACGCCTGTGGGGCAAACCAGAGGACAAGCAGGGTGGCCTGAGACTAGGCTGCGGATGCCGAGGCCAGTGCAGAGCACAGCGAGACTTGCAGCCTTTGATGTCACTGCTCCCTGTGTGGACACACTGCTCACCCCATCTTTACATCCATGCCTGACACCCTGAGATTCCTCAGTCTCGCACACACAGCAGCCCCACCACTCTCTCTTTAGTCCCTGCCCCGTCCTTGTCATTTAGGGCATTTGTCATTGTTGACATAGGGTCTTGCCCCAGCCTGTTGAGTAGCTTTTAGCACCTTCTAATAATTTATTTTTTGTTTGTTCTGCGGTGTTAGGGATGGATGGAACCCATGGCATTGCATTTGGGTGGCAGAGGCTCAACAGCTGAGCCACACACCCAGCTTTTTTTTTTTTTTTTTTTTTTTTGGTTTTTACGAGACAGGGTTTCTCTGTATTGATTTGGAGGCTATTGGTCCAGCCCGGCCTCGAACTCACAGAGATCTGCCTGCCTCTGCCTCCCGAGTGCTGGGATTAAATGCATGCACCACCACCCCCAGCCACCCAGCTCTTTAATGGGGGATTCTTAGCAGTGCGCCGTGGCTGACCATACCCCTAAATCCCTTATCACTCCATTGTTTTCAGTCTGCACAAGCCTGGCATCTCCTCCACAGTTTACCACTGTGTTTTCACTCCCTGAAGTTGATAGTTGCTTAGTGAATGCAGGCTGAATCAGTGAACGGGGCAGGTGAGCCTTGTTCTGAAGATCTGGGTTCCCAAGACCCAGCGCTGGGTTTAGGCAGACACGATTGCTTCCTGGACAACCAAGGGCTAGGAGGAATCCACTGCCTTGATTCCCAAGTCCCTATCTCCTGGTTACAGCTTTCCCAGTCTTACTAGGTATGTCACTCTGCTCCCCAGGCCTCTGGGAGTCAACACCATGTTCCTTCTCTAGGCAAGTGGCTCAGGTCAGGCAGGTGGCCCAGGGAAGTTTCCAGTCTCTGATAGCAGAACTATTTCAATCTATGGGCAAAATGAGGGATAGGATCCTAACGCCATTGGTTGAACTCCTTGATATACCAGTACTGCCAACAATTTCCTAAGTATTTCTGTACAGGAACTAATATACTGGGGTAGGGAAAACAGCACAACAACAACAACAACAACAACAGACTAATATCCCCAGCTGGAGAGATGGCTCCACATACCCACACAGCGGCTCACAACCATCTGTAACTCAGCTTTGGGGGACTCAGAAGCATCTTTTGTACTCCTTGGGCACCAGGCACACATGTGTGCACATATACACAAGAAGGCAAAAACTCTCACACACACAAAAATAATATTTGAAAAACAAAAAAGCAAAACAAATGCCAGGAGGTGGTGGCACACAACTTTAAATCCAACAGAGGGGGGCAGTTGCAGGCGGATCTCTGTGAGTTCAAGACCAGCCTGGTATAGAGAGTAAGTTCCAGGACAAGCTCCAAAGCTACAGAGAAACCCTGTCTGAAAAAACAAAAACAAAAAACCAAAAAAAAAAAAAAAAAACAAAAAAAAACCAAACCCAACCAAACCAAAAAACCTCAAAACAAAACAAAAAAACAAACACCACCTCCCCCCTCCCAAAAAGACCAAACCCAAAACCATTCTGTGGCTGAAAGTTTGGGTTTCTTCTTTTGGGTTCTGGCAACTAAATACTGGATTTTGTTCATCTTAAGCTAAGTATGTAATCTTCTAAAGAATTTATTTTCAATAGTGTGTGTGTATGTTTATAAGCATGTGAACACAGGTGTCCATGGAGGCAGAAGAGGGTGTTGGGTCCTCTGCAGCTAGCATTGCAGGTGGCCATGAGCCAGTGTGGGTGTTGAGAACTGAACAGGTTCCTCCCTAAAGCAGTTTAACCTTTAACTGCTCAGCCAGCCTCAGCCAAGCGTGTACTCTTGCCACCGAACAACATCCCAGCTCAAGTGCTTTTCCCTGCACCCCAAAGAAGACCCCCCCATGCCCTGCCAATTGACAGTGCCTCCTCACCTAGGGCTGTCCCATAGCCGGCAGTGGCCAGAGCGCCGGTGTTACAGTGGGTCAGCACTGTCACCTTGCCACCCCTGGGATTGGTATGCTCTAGAAGGTGGCGGGCTCCCAAGTCCCCGATGTTCCGGTTATCTTTGAGGTCTTTCTCCAACATATCCTCGGCGAAGCAGATCACTCTGGGGACAACAGGAGCTCTTAGCACTGCTGGAAAGGACCTGGCTAGCTGCTCTCCATTCCTCAAAGTTGTGGGGCTCTCCTGGGGACACCTGCCACTCTACTCACTAGATCCGTGTGAGTCAGGTGCTGGGGGTGGTAGTAAACACAATAAAAAATCTGCCTCTGCGGTGATGACATTAGTGGTGGGAGAGGCAGTTGATTAACTGGTAAAATCAAGGACAAGAAGGCAGAGTTGGGGACAAGGTGTTATTACAGAAGGGGAAGGAGGGCGCAGGAACCTGACAGATGCAGCAGAACGCTGAGAACGAAGTGGCTTGACCGGAAGTGGGAAAGGAAGGAGAGAGGTAGAGAGGAAAGCAGGACAAGACAGGAGACCGCACGGCAGAGCCTAACAGGACGGGTGTTAAGAGCCTGGTGTGGCGGTACGAGGGACTGAGTTGAAGGACCTGGGGAACACAGCACGGGGATGGACTTCTAGTCCTGCCAGTGGGCCCCTAGACACCGCACACCTGCACGACGCCTGCTTCCTGGTGTTTGTAGAAGGGAAAAGGGGGGTCAGTTAGCTTCCGCTTGCACTGCCTGGTCCAGGTTCCCGTACCTTTCCCGCACGGTCTCCTCCGTGGCACCCTTGCGCTCCGCCTCCCGGGCTGCCACGCGAGCCAGATCTCGGGCGGCACGGGCCATGTTGACAGCGGTGGGCCTGGCGGCGACAAGGAGACGCAGCTGGTTTTGCACGAAGGCCACCAGAGAAGCAAGCCCAGGACCGCCGGCGCCCGCCCGCAGCTCCACCGCCAGGCTGAGGCAGCCCACCAGGGCGATGGCGGGGGCGCCTCGCACCTTCATGGCGCGGATGGCCTCGCTGGCCTGCTGCACCGAGCCCAGTGCCTCGTAGCTGCAGTGCTCAGGCAATTGCAGCTGATTGAGGATCTGCAGGGAGCCCGGGGAGTAGCGGATCGATTCCAGACGCATGGTGCCTGGCGCGTTGGGCCACACTGCAACCCGCTCAGGCTGAGTGGCGGAGCCGCATCCTGCGGCCGGCGCCTGCGCATGCACACACGGAGCCATGCCCGGTGATTAGCTTCTTCCTTCTTCCGGTGTCGCTGAGACCTTGCGCCAAGGCCAGAGTTGGTGATCAGTGATGGGGTTATTTTTGCTGAGAACTGTTCATTCGTTACTGAAGCGATACTTGGCAGCCTCAGCTTTACTCGTTCACGGCTCACAGACACCCAGCCTCGGATTACTTTTAGTCCCATTTCTTTAAAAGCAAGTACCACGAGGAACTTTTATTCTTCGGGGCTGAAGAGACTGCTCACTGGCTAAGAGCGTATACTGATCTTGTAAAGGACCAGAGTTCGGTTCCCAGGTGGCTTCACAGCTGCTTCTAACCCCAGTTACAGACCTTCAGACCTCAGTGGGACAACATATTCATACATGCAAACGCTTAATTAAAAATAAATCTAATAAATCTCAGACTTTAATATCAGCGCTTGGGAGGCAGAGCTCTGTGAGTTCCCCCTAGTCTACATAGTAAGTTCCAGGACGGCCAGGGATAGAGAAACCCTATCTTAAAAACAAAACTAAGCAAACAAAACCCACAGGGATTTCTCTACGTAGCCCAGGTTGGACTGGACCACACCTTCTCTGTACTGCTGGGGCGCCAGGATAACTGGTGTGTGCCCACCACTGGCTGGACCAGGGTGTTTTTTTTTTTTTACCCCTGTTCCAATATGGTTACAATTTTATTATGTTTTATAGCGAGAGATCTTAATGTACCCTTAGCACTGGCCACCTTTTGGGCGTGGTCACAGGTGGGAGGAGGCAGGGAATAAAGGACTGGGAGGAGAGAGGTCTCAGAAGCCGCCTAGACCAACTTGGGTTGCCGGTTTCTCTTTTAAGAAATTTCCACAGTAGCCATCTTAACCCTTCATAAAGTGTGTGATTCATATATATATATGTATATATTGTGTGTGTGTGAACAATTTATACATCTTGCTGCTTTGTGACTTTGTAACTAGAAAGCCAATCCAGGATGAACATTCCGGTTGACTCCAGTTCATAGTCTTGCCCCTATACCATACAGTCTAGTTGAGAACTCAGTGCAGGCCTCAAGGGTCCTTTGAAGACAGAAACAAGACCGGATGTGAATCCCAGCAAGAGACTAAGGCTCTCTCTTCCCAGTCCTTTATTTCCTGCCTCCTCCCACGGACCTGTGACCAAGCCCAAATGGGCGTGGTCAGTGCTAAGGGTTGGTAAGATCTCTCCCTACAATGTTTATATACTAAAAGAAGGGATTATCAATCAAGGCACTTTTCAAATACATTGGTGGGATACAGTGAAGCAGAAGTTCTCTGCTGAGGGTTCTAGCGATCTTTACTATCCTTGCCTTTGGATTGTGGAAGTCAGTGGTTTGCTAATACAACTTTTTTTTCTTTTAACATTTTTTTATTAATTTATTTTACATTCCAGCCCTAGTTCCCCCTCCCTCTTCTCCTCCTGCTCCCCCCTCCCATCTGCTCCTTGGAGAGGGTTAAGACCTCCCCTAGGAAGTCTATTTAGTCTGTCCTATCATCTTGTTGAGGCAGGATCAAGGCACCTCCCCATACTCCTGTGTCTAGGCTGAGCAAGGTATCTCTCCACATAGAATAGGCTCCACTAAGTCAGTTTGTGCATTAGAGTTAGTTAGGTCTTGGACCCACTGCCAGTGGCCTCATATATTGTCCCAGCTGCACCATTGACACCTATATTAAGGGAGGCTAGTTCGGTCTTATGCAGGTTCCCCATTTGTCAGACCGGAGTCAGTGATCTCTCACTAGCTTGGGACCAGGGTGTTTTTGATGGTTGTTTCACAGTTACTACTAATAGTTGGGTCGTTATGAATGGCTCATACTGGTTTATGGCATGCAGCCTGGATGTCCTTCCTGCCACCTCATACAGGAGGCTATCCCAGGCCATGGCCAGTCTTGATCCAGTATCTCAGACCCTTCATTCTGCTGTGCGGGGGCATTGCTGTCACATTAGTGGCTGCAGCAGCATCTGCTTAGTTGGATTAGGTGGAAGGGAAAGCAGGAGAGATACTAGGCAACTTTAGCAACCCAAGGCAGGGACAAAGAACAGGGCTTTAATATTAAGGTGTCAGGGGTTACACCAAGGCACAGACATCCTCACCAAAACTAAATAAATAATGATCTGTATAGGGAGAGAAGTCTGTGGCTGGGCTGGCAGCAATGAGGCCTGCAGTCTGTAAGGTCTGGACGAGTCATGGCTTCTGGTCCCTGGAATTCTGACTCCCTTACTCACTCTCTGAGTCCGAGTAGTCAGCCACCAGGGAGGCACTGGGGTTGCTGGGGTACAGTAGGTCCTTCTGGGAAGAACCTAAGGGTAAGACTCTACAATTCCTGTTGGATTCTGGTGTCTTGCTGGTTCTAGGGGCCTCTGCTGTCTCTTGAAGTCTGTCCTGGGTTGTTCCTGGTGGCCCCCTTGGCTCTGCTGACAAGGAACTGTCTGTTGCACACTGGGGGCTTTCTGGAACGTCTCGAGATCTCCTCACTATGCCCAGGTCCCCCACTGTGCCCGTGGTGCTGGGGGGTGGTCTGCGGCCCTGGCACAGTTTCTTGAGGACGTTGCTAGCTTTGCTGCTGCTGGCACTAGGTCCCTGGGCTGAGGGGAACCAAGAGCGGTGGATGATCTCTGTGCGCTTCAGTCTCTGTTTGTCCTCATAGGCTGTAGGGAGGAAGGGGTACTGTAAAGGGCCTAAGGCTCAGTGGCAGTGTGCATAAAACACACCCAAGCTTTGCGCTCCCCTCGCCACTGTAAGCAACAGGGCTCCCTAGGGACCAGGTGCCCCCAAACCTGGCAACCTTTGCCTCCCATGAACCTTCTGGCCCAGTGCCACCACTCACAGTCCAGGGTATGCAACCGTAGCAGGGCAGCCAGCCTTCGGTCGTCCTCTGTCTCTGGGACAAGAGGGATGGCTAGGCTGGCCTTTGCCTGGAGTGCCTGGTCCTTCTCTTCCTCCTCTAGCATGGCTTTCTTTTTTTCCTGTGGGTGGGTATAACACACAGGGAAGGACATCAGAATCCCACAGGTCTCACTCCAGCCACTGGGTCTGTTCTCCCTTGGCCTGAAGCAAGCGAAGGGCCCATACAGTACCCGTGACGCACAAGCAACCCCACGTGATGGGCTCACATCAGGGTCCTGCATTCAGCCCTTCGCGCCTTCATGCCAGAGAGATGGTCATGTGCTACAACACTACACTTTGATTAATGATGGGCAGCAGGTGTGACCTGCTAGATACATTTCATGACATGATAAAGAAGCTTTGGTGGCCAGGCCAGTGATCCCAGTACTTGGGAGGTCCAGGCAGGGGAAAGGGAATTTAAGGCCATACTTAGACCTAAGCCATACTGCCAATTCTGGGGCCCTAGAACTTTTTCTTCTCTCCACCTTCTTTTTGGGGGGGGGAACTCCCTCTGCAATCCAGATGGATCTGGAACTTAAAGTAGTTCCCCTGCCTCAGCTTCCTGAGCATCAGGCCCAGCTTTCTGGTTTTGAGGTTAATCTCCAACTCCTGGGCCAGGAGTTTCCTGTTTCAGTCCCTGGTGTGACTGGAACCACATCATCAAAACTGGCTCCAGCCAATTGTGGTGGCTCACATTGGTAGGATTTGCTGAAAGAGGCAGAGGCAGGAGTATCATAAGTTCAAGGTCAGCCTGGGCTACACATTTAAAAGCCAGGCGGTGGTAGTGCACACCTTTGATCCCAGCACTTGGGAGGCAGAGGCAGGTGGATCTCTATGAGTTCCAGGACAGCCTGTTACACAGAGAAACCATCTAAAAAAAAAAAAAAATAAAGAAAGAAAGAAAAAAAGAAGGAAAGAAAACCAAAACCAAAGTAAAACAAACAAACAAACTGGCTCCCTGCTTATGTTGAAACTTAGTGCCCTGTGTGATAGCTGACAACATGAGGCTTTGGGGAGGCGACTAGGTTGTTAGGGCTCTCCCCAATGAATGGGATCAGTGCCTTACACAGGAGTTTATAGGGAGCCTATGTGTCCTGTCTGGCCCTTGAGGATCCATCCAGCAGGAAGTTCTAGAGGAACCAGACCAGGCACTCTGTACATAGTGAATTAGTGGATGCCTCAATGCTAGACTTGCAGCTTGTATAGCAGTGAATGATACATTTTTAGTATATAAACTCCCCAGTCTGTGGTATGTTTGTTATAGTAGCAAGAAGAGATTAGGCAGGGGCATGACTCTGTACTGCCTGGGATCAGGGTGGAAATGACCAGCTGGCAAGTGGGATATGGGGACACAGATCTGAACCACTGTCTCCCAGCTCTTAGTCTGCTGATGTCTACTGTGGGGTTCCCTCACCCGGAAGTGCCTGCGTAGCATGCTATTCAGAGCGAAGTCATCCTTCCAGGCATTCTGTGCCTCCTGGATGTGGCTGAGTGTGGGCAGGGCCTTCTTCAGTGTGCTGCGGTCAGCCTCACCATGCTCCAGGCGGAACATGGCATCCGTCTCCAGTTTCTCTTTCTTCTCATGCTCTGCAAGGACCACATAAGCATGGCTCGGGGAAGCAGCCTGGGGTCATGTGGGATGGACAAGCAGACAGTGCTCACCTGTGGTCAGAACCTGCTCATTGTCTTCCATATCCCAACGCTCCTCCTTGCGACTGGCACCACTCACGATGACATAGTCACAGTTGGCAGGGTCTGTTTGCATCTCGATGTAGTTGATGCAGAGGTGGCATTTCATCCGGAACCTGGAGAGGAACTGGAGTTAGGGCACAGTGATCCTACCCTGAGACCACTGCCCACTTCCTTTGGGGTACACACTCTTCCAAAAAATCACTGAGCACCCACTGCACCCAGTTCAGATCTGGGAGAACTCTGAGGAAGATACGTAGGCTTGCATCTAGACAGAGCAACCAAGAGACTGAAGATGGGGCTGGGGCTCCAAAGTACAGAGCCTGTTCAGCATGCTCCAAGTGTTAGCCTTCACCCCCCAGTGTGACAAAAACCCAACGTTTAATGATAGGTGTAGTGGCACCCATTTGTGATCCCAATGCTCCCTAGGATACACTTTAAGATCGTGTCTACACCTACAACCAACCACTCAGGCACTAAAGCCGACTCTTTCATTCATTTGCTCATTCGTCATCTACCTATCCACACACACACCTACTCATCCATTTATCCATCTGTATGCCTGTGCATCTACCTATTCATCCATCCATCCATCCATCCATCCATCCATCCATCCATCCATCCATCCATCCCCCACTTGCCTGCCCATTGGTCCATCTATGCATTGGTATACAGACCCATTTACCTACCTATTGATCCACCCACCAACTATTCATCCATTTGTCCATCTTCTACCTATTCACTCTCCCACTCAATAGCTACCCACCTGGGCATCCTCCTGCCCTCCCTCTGTTGGCTACTCTGCACCAGGCTGCTGCCA